GGGGGTTGCATCCGATTTTATTCTGAACCGTGCTATCAAACGGCTTCGGTTCAAGATGCTCAATATCAAGCAGATAATATCTCAAATCCAGTCCGAGGACTGATTTGTTACGATAGATCTCAAAGACGCTTATTTCCATGTTTCCATCCTCCCTCAACACTGGAAATTCCTGAGGTTTGCTTTCGGGGGCAAAGCATACCAATATCGAGTTCTTCCCTTCGGCCTGTCACTCTCACCCCGCACTTTCACGAAGTGTGTGGATGCTGCTCTGGCTCCACTGCGACTCCAGGGCATCCGCATACTAAATTATATCGACGATTGGTTGATTTTGGCTCAGTCAGAGCAGATGGCGGTTGAACATCGAGATGTTGTTCTTGCTCACATGAAAGAATTAGGGTTAAGACAAAACGCCAAGAAAAGTGTGCTTTCTCCATTATAGAGTACCACTTATTTGGGCGTGGTGTGGGATTCGACCCCGATGCAGGCACGATTGTCCCCTGCTCGGATCGAGTCGATCCTCACGGCAGTCAAGCGAGTCAGAGGCCAGTCACTCACTGTCAAGCAGTTTCAGAAACTATTGGGTTTGATGGCAGCTGCGTCCAACGTGATACCTTTTGGCCTGCTGTACATGAGACCCCTACAGTGGTGGCTCAAGACCAAGGGGTTCTCCCTGAGGGGAAACCCGCTTAGCATGCTCAAGGTCATGCGGAGGTGCCTTAGACATGTGGAGGAAACCTTGGTTCTTGACTCAGGGCTTGGTGCTGGGAGCTCCTTGTCGCCGCTTTAATGCTAGCGACGGACGCGCCCCTCACCGGTTAAGGAGCGGTCATGAGTGGCTGCTCGGCCCGCGCGGTCTGTGGAGCGGCCGCCATCTCACGTGGCAACTGCCTGGAGATCCTGGCCGTGTTTCTAGCAAAGTTGAAACACGTTCTCCCGGACCTTAAAGGTCGCCATGTGTCGGTGTCCACCTGCGACACAGCGGTGGTCTCTTATATCAACCACCAGGGAGGTCTGCGTTCGCGCCCCTTGTACAAGCTAGCGCACCAGATCCTTGTGTGGTCCCAGGGCAAAATCCTTTCATTGAGAGCAGTACATATTCCTGGGTATTTGAATATGAGAGCGGACATCCTGTCGAGGCAGGTGCCGAGGCCAGGGGAATGGAGGCTTCAACCCCAAGGTGGTGAAGCAGATATGGAGAATTTTTGGCCTGGCTTAGGTGGACTTGTTTGTGACTCAGATGACATTGCACTGTCCCCTCTGGTTCTCTCTGACTCATCCGGCTCCACTGGGGCTGGATGCCATGGTACACATCGAGATGTCATTCTCGCTCACCTGAGAGAGCTGGGGTTAAGACTAAACGCCAAGAAGAGTGTAATTTCTCCACTACAGAGAATCACTTATTTAGGCATGGTGTGGGATTCTACCAGGATGCAAGCACGTTTGTCTCCTGCTTGTATCGAGTCAATCCTCACGACAGTCAAGAGAGTAAGAGAAGGCCAGTCACTCACTGTCAAACAGTTTCAGA